TTTTGCTCTAGGGCAGAGTTCACAAAAGTAGAGCTCCAGGCAAAAATAATTTGGGTGTAACCTTAGAGTTGGGTTTCTAACTTTGAGAGAAGAGTATAACCTGTCAATCACTTTAGCATTTCTCTTGGGTAAATGTCTTTTAAAAATGCAACTATCCTTATATATTTTTGAAATACAGTGAATAATTGCTCCTAGTTACAATTAAAGGGGTAGGTTTTATTAACCCTAACATTCTTTCATTGAGGGTCTGTTAAGCTTAGATGAAATTGTCCAATGAGAAAAAATTATCCTACGACATCTTTTGGTTATCAAGTTTAAAATATCAAATAATTGATGCCTTTTCACTTTAGCTTAGTGGTTCTTTAACAGTATAATGAGGGTTGTTTGGGGAACTTGGTAAAGACACAGATTCTCTTCCATCTCTGTGGAATTCTGCGTCATAGGCCGGGAGCGTCCTAGGGGTCTTTAACACTTGTCCTAGGTGATTCCAACACAGGTAGTCAAAGAGCCATACTTTGGTAAACATTGCTTTATGATCGTTTGGAAATTATTGGGTCTGATAATTGGGACTTAATGTAACCACACTCACTGTGTCTCCTTTTGGCTTTCTTGAATGCTGTAACGATGGCTCTCATAACAGATTGCGGTGAACGCCAGCACCATCCCTGAACAAATACAGTCCTTGTCTGTGCATGACTCTCAGGTATGTTTCTCTGCCAGTCATTCCGTTTGAGATGCTTTGTAGACAGATCTTTTAAAAAACCAGCGTTTTAGAAAGATGGACAATTTCAAGGTAGTGCCTCCAAATCAAGGGTTTATAAGCTCTCTTTTTAAATAGGTTGCTATTGACCGTACTTTGTGGGACCTCCAACCTTTAAATGATAGGCTCAGGAGTGAGAATTGATTACCAGACTGCTCCTCAAATTGCTGGTACTGTGGAAAAGAAGAAAAGGAAAGAAAATGACACCATTCTGTTATATTCCAGCCACAGAACATTGTGGTTAATTGATACTTTTCTTTTTTGCTCCTGGTTGGATTTCTGTAACCTGTTTTCATAATTCTGTTATCATTGAATTTTATGGGCCAATTCATCTCTACAACTTGCCTTGTAAAAATAATAGTCCAGTAACTGTGACATGCATTTATAATGCATATTTATTAAAGTTATGGGACAGAAGACGTGTGCTGTGAGTCATGGTGGGAGGTGATGAGGGATGTTGAGCAATCCATGGAAAGACCTAGGGGCATAGAACCAGAGCCCAGGCCTGCATTCTGGTTCTGCTGTATAATTAACAGGCAAGCCCTTTTGTTCTCAAAGTGGTTGTACTATAAAGCATTACCACTGTCAGGATCATAATTTTCTTTCTTTCAAACTCTACATATCCAATTTAAATTCATTTCTGTTTTACTTGGTCTGTGTTTTATAAAATTAACCATATGTTGGGGAGATAATTAGAGTGATTTTGTTGGCTTCAGGAAGCCTGTTTGAGGTCAGATAGCTAATGCTGGGCCCTTATTTTATAGCTGAGGGAGTGAAGACTTACAGAGGTGAAGTGGCTCCCCCACAGTCACACCACTGGTTAGAGGCCAAGTCAGGATTCGGTTTAGGTCTTTGCACTATATCAGGCAACTCAGTAAGAGACTTTGAGATAAACTGTAGGGATTGGTTGAATGATAAAAGGCAAGTTAAGAATAATAATGGATCAGAGGGCAAAGAGAATAAAGGAAACAGGATCAGGGATTAGGATAACTAGTACTGTAGAGGATTTTATGACTCACTTTCATATATATCATTTTATTCTCCCCGCAGCCTTTTACGGTGGGCAGTATTCAGAGAATGGCTTGCTCATGGTTGCGTTTCAGGTCAGTGGCAGAGCCAAGTCTTGACCTGAAATGCCTTATTTTTTCTACTCCAACAGTAAAGTCTACTCATGTCCCGGGATTCCCTGAGAACAGGGAGAGGCTGTGTATTGGAGACATTTGTGGTTAATAATCAGTATTCAAGAAAATGGGCTGTAGGTGAGAAAGGCAGGAAAGATAAACAGTGGCTGAATCTTCTGGGCCCCTCCTTCCTCTGCATTGCAGGGTTTAAGGTGCCCAGCCTTCGTGGTCCCCAAGTTTCAATGGTAACCATCCATGGCGTGGCTTGTGAGGTGCCATTTTTGGTAGCTGGACTTACCACAGCTTATACAAGTTGTTCGTGATGCCATTCCTATGACTGAGGCTTTCCGTAGGAAACATTCATATCCACAATTGTGATGGGAATTAGGCACCATGACAACCTTTACATGGAGGTGTTACAATGTCAAACAAGGCCTGCGTGTGTAAAGATCTAGTTTTGAAATTTCCAGAAAGAAGTGGCTCTATGAATCGAGCGATATTGTGATTTTATTCATTCCTTTCCTGATGCAGTTTATAATGCTGTTGGCTGTTTTCCTTTTAAAGAGTCCACCCAGTGCTAATGAAGACTACAGAGAAGCTGCTTCTTGCGCTGTGAACCTCGTTTTGAGATTAAGGTAAATAATGCTATTGTTTATTCTGCATTGTTTTTCCCATAGTACAATTTTTTTAATCTCCTTCGTTAACTTTTCATAATATTAGCATAAAATAAAATCGTTAGCTTATTTGATTTCCCCAAACCACGAGTGTATGCTGTATTCCCAGGGCTAATTGTGCTCTTCTAATTGCTTGCTAAAGAAGAGTAAGAAAGAAAAGCACTGTATGAGTGTGTCTGCAGGCTCAGTGTACCTTTCATTATGTTTTTTTTCCTTGCCTTTTCTTTCTTAGGTTTTTTTTTTTTTTCTTTTTCTTTTTTTTTTACAATGTAAGATCACAGTAAGAGATTTTTAATGAGTTTCTTTCACACTTCAGCAGTCGGTCTCTGACAGAAATAAACCATGCTTGTACTACAGGTTGCCTGTTCAGAACATTTTTCAGTGGCAAGTTTGATCAGCCACTGTGGAAAAATGACAGATATATTTTGAAAGAAATCTCAGTCTTCTAGGAAATGAATACAAATATGGTGCCTGACAGTACAGTCTTTGTCTGCAGTCGAGTGAATGAAAGCGTTTTCCGTTTTAAGGATTTTTTTTTTATTTTTTTATTTTTTAAAGGTTCTTCTTTGTGATATTCGTTGCTAAGAATTTGATAAGACAGAACGGTTTAAACTGAATTATAAACAGCTTAGTTTACCAGCTCCATCAGAATACTGTCACATCTTTGAAGATGTTTTAAAAGAAGTTATACGTATTTCTTCTGACCATTAAACAAATAAAGCACGTGCATATACTAGGCATTTTCAGAGTTGTAGCTACAAAAAGCGGGTTCATCATCAAGGTTCATTTCTGGCCACTAGGGATTTTCAGAGTTGTAGCTACAAAAAGTGGGTTCATCCTCAAGGTTAGTTTCCACCCCTCTGAGTTATCATAGTCCATCTAAGTAGACCGTTGGCACCATAATCACCCCCACTTCTGATGGTCATTTATAGTCTTGCATTTTCACATATTTATCAAGGGAACCTCACAGTAACTCTTGGTGTGATTCAATTCAGAGTTAATTTCCCAGTCAAGAAGTGAAATTATTACAAGGCTGTTGTCCTTATATTTGACAGTAGCCTTGATTATTATTCACAGTTCATGAATTTAGCAGTCACTAAAGAATGAGATAGTCCATTTCCTTTTTGTCTGACTTTCGAACGAAGTACTTCTTTCATTTATATTTTACTTGTTCAGTTATTCATTAATTCAGCCCATATTTACGAGGAGCCCACTGTGCCAGGAACTCTGTGCCAGGCTCATGTTTGTCATTGAGGTGCAATGGTGAGCAAGACTACCGAGGTTTTAGTCTAGCACACTGAGCATGCAGTGTTGGAAGTGACCTTTAGAATCCAACAGTCCAGTTGCCCACTTTATATATGCAGGAATCTTTTTTTTAGTGTCCCTGCTGATGTTTACCTAGCTTCTGTGCATACTAAAACTCACATTTTCTTCATGGTGGCCCCTTTAATACTAACAAAAGCCTTAATTGTTGGATGGTTCTTCCTCCTTCTGAAGATTAAACTGACTTTTCTTTTCTGGGCTCCTGTGGGCTGTAATCCCCGTTAGTGCAAATATCAGACTGTCTGGATAAAAGTCTCCTGGAAAATGTGTTAAAACACGTACCACTGAGCCTTAACTTTAGATATTATTTCGTCCTGGGTACTAGAGCAATGTAAGACAAATGTATTCCCTTATTTTTCTGAGAGCCATTTGTAAATTTGCGAGGAATGTTCTTCTCTTTTCTTAGACAAAATATTGTAAGAATCTTTAGCCTTTTTCTCATGATACAGTTTGTGTATTGCTCTTGCAATCCTAGTTGCTCACCTTTATTAATATTTAGTCTGCATCTGCCTTTCTTATATTTTCTCTTGTGGGTGTAGGTTGTTTTCATAAGTTTGTGGCTTAGATCACTAGTCCTACATGATGCTCCAGCAAGAAAGGGTTCTATGTTCAAATAAGTTAAAAAACAACGTACATTATTCATCAGTCTGTGCACAGGCACACACATGCACATACACTTTTTTTTTTTGGAAATCACAACGAATATTAACATATTAAATATTTTAAGTTCTATAAGAAGGGAATTTGTTGAACTTTCTTTCATCTAAAACCTATTTGACCTCATAACTCTTTTTATGTGGCTATTTTGTGTTCCTCTTGTATGTAGTGCCCATATTTAAATACAGGATTCCAGGTGTGGTCTGAGCAGGCTGGAATACAGTATTAAGAACATGTGTTTTTTTTTTTTATCCACACTTTATATTTCTCAGCCCAGGTTTTCATTGCCTTTTGAAATGTCCATGCACATTGGTGACATGTTCAGCATGACTCAGCAGCCAAGCAAAACAGCTGATTTTTTTTTAAAGGGCTACAAGCCTAATTCTGAACTGCAACTCTAGATACAACTTATCATTTATCACTAATAATCAACCTGATAGTTTTGATTCATTTCTTGTCCACTGTATACTTCAGTCATGATCATCAGTGTGTCATATTCCAGTGTTTAGATGTATGTCCATTGCCAATCTGATTAACCTGCATTTTAGTCTTTATCCGAAACATTGATTAAGGTGTTTAGAAGTTTGAGGGAGAAGAGTCTCCTGACATCTGTTAGAAACCACTCACTGTTGGAGTGACTTTCAATAATGAACTAGTGTTCTTTGGTCCAGTTGTTCAACCAGTAACAAATGCAGTGCCTTTTAGTGGACATCTAACCCAATTATTCAGACGGATATCATAAAGGGATCTATTATATATGTTGCTGAAGTTAACACGTACCACATTAATGACATTTTCCTGAATCTAATGACATAGAAACACTTTCTAATAATAGAAATGTATTTTAGTATGACTTATTTTCACTGAACACTTGTTGATACCTAATTGTTGGTACATTTGTCTACTTAGGTTGCCATAAAAAAAATACCATAGACTAGGTGGCTGAAACAACAGAAATGTATTTTCTCATAGTTGTGGAGATCAGGATGTCAGCGTGGCTGGTTTCTGGTGAGGACTGTCTCCTTGGCTTACAGCTGTCTGTCTGCTTACTGAGTCCTCACATGGTGGAGAGGGAGTGAGGGCAAGCTCTCTGGTGTCTCTTGGGTCCCACCCTCGTGAGCTCACCTAAACGTAATTACCTCCCAAAGGCTCCATCTCTAAATACCATCACATGGAGGGTTAGGACTTCAGCATATGAATTTTTTTTCAGGGTGGGCCACGATTCAGTACATAGCAGTTGGTATACTTTTGTTTTCACTAAATATTTACAAGCTAGTTATTTATACTTTTACTTTTCATATTTGTGAACTCATGAATCTCTCAGAAATTGTTGGAGTGGGGTGGAAAGTGGGGGGATGTCCTTGTACTTCAGTTTGAGAAATAGCCTTTGGAAGTTGTAAGTTAAACAGTATTAAACTTTTTTGAGATCACTGTGTTCTAAAGTAAATGAAAACGGTAAATACATTCATTCATTCTATAAATATTTATTGAGCACTTACTATGTGCATGGCATTGTTTCAGGTGCTGTAATGTATCAGTAGAAAAAAGAAAAGACATACTTTTTGCCCTAAAGGAGCTTACTTTCTAGAGCCGGGGAGAGGAAAAATTCAAATATTCAAATTGCAAGTATGATATACCAAGTCGTCTGAAGGAAAATTTATGTCAGGAGGATAGAAAGTAAGGGGGATGGTATTCGATATTATAGAAGGTATATGAGATTTCTGTTGCTGTGTGAAAAGCTACCACAAACTTAGCAACTTAGAATAGCACCCATTTATTATCTCAGTTTCTGTAGGTTGGAAGTCCGGGTACAGTTGAGCCGGGGTAGTTTGCTCAGTGTCTCTCTGGCTGAAATTAAGGCATGCACTTCGGAGCTCATGGTCCTCTCCCAAGCCTTTCTGGGCTGCTGGCAGAATTTAGCTCCTTGCAGTTGTGGATTGAGACCCTGAGCTCCTATAGGCCACGAACAGTTTACAACATGACTGTTGCCCTTTCAGAAGCAGCTGTGGACCATCTCCCCTACTCCACTCTCACCCCCAAGGCCTCAGTCTTTCTGTTCAAGGTTTTTTACCTGATTAAGCAGGCCTCACTTAGGATAATCTCTCTTTTGATGAACTCAGAATCAACTGATCTGGAACTTTAATTACATCTTCACCTTTGCCATGCGACGTAACTTAATCGCAGGAGTGACGTCCCATCATAGTTACAGGTCCTGTTCATACTCAAAGGGAGAGGATGATGCAGGGTAGGTTCACTAGGGAATGGGTTTATTGGGGTCATCTTAGAATTCTGTCTACCACAGAAGGCTCTCCAAATTAAGTAATATTTGAACAGACCAAAGCAAACAGCACTTGCAAATGTTTGAAGCAGGAAGCGTGTTATAAGCAATTGGAAAAACAGCCAGGAAACCAGTGCAGGCAGAGCCAAGGTCATGGGCACAGAGAGTTAGCAGGGGCCAAATCACATAGGACTGCGTAGCCTGTGGTGAAGACTTTGGGTTTTACTGTTAGAGGGCAGAAAACCAGGAGGCCTGTGAGCAGAAGAGTGATATGATCTGAATAAAATTTTAAACAGAGAACTGCAATTGATCTGTAGAGAACAGACCATATAGAGACCTTATAAGATGGCTGTGAGAGTCCCTTGGCAGGCTACTGCCATGACATAGTGAAGGTGATGTGACTTGGACCAGAGTGAGGACTAACGGAAGTGGTAAGCAGTTATTGAATTCCTGGTTTGGGAGAAGGAACTTGATTACTCAAGGTTTTGGCCTGAAAGTATGGAGGAATGGAGTTACTATTTTCTGAGATGGGAAAGAGAGTTTGAGTTGCAGGTTGGGATGGAATAAAGAACTCAGTTTTGCACATGTTAAGCTTGTGTTGTCTGTGAGGACGTATCAGGTAGGGATTTGGATACAAGATTTCAAAGATGTCTGAGCTAGAGATGTAAATTTAGGAACAGTTGGTGGTGCCCATGGCATTTAA